CTTCCTATTTTCTTTTCTTTCCAGTTCACCTTCTACTACTTCTTGCCCAAAAGTGCACATACTGGAATAAAACGTGGTCTCTAATCCTTTCTACTTTAGAATATCTTTCATGCTTCATCAATGTAGAAATGGTATTCCCCCCACTCAGCCCCCAAGTAACATAAATCCTTTAGGTGTTAGTGAAGGCTCCCTTAATTAATTGCATCTTCCTAGTTTTCAATACAAAAGTTTTTTTAGAAGTAAAAATTATACTTAAATTTGTTTTGGAAACAAGTGCATTTGCTTCCACATAAAAATAGTTAAGTTTTAAAAATACTGGAGCGCCAAGTGCAATCTACAGCTGTTTCCACATTTTTAAAATAGCAGTAGAGTTAATATTTAGAACAGTCAGAAATGAGTAGCCTGACCTGCTGCAGACCACATTACCCATTTAAATGGCCATCATAATCCAAGTTGAAGAAATAGTACATGTCAGAACACATTCTTCAATAAATTAACATTAGGGCAATAATCTTAAATTCTCTTGTAACTGTGCAGCAGTCACAACAAGAGCTCCTCAATTAATTCATCTGAGGGGGGTTTGCAAAGATACAGATGACTAGAAGCTCTTTCTTACACTGAGATATGGGTGTAATTTCATTAATGGCTGAAGAAGATTAATAGTCATTACCATGTTTCATTTTTGCTCATGAGACTATTCTACCTATCTTTATTACATTTACTGTAGGAGTATAAACACACATCAGGAAAAGTAGGGTTGATAAACTACAAGCAATTTAGTGCTCATTCTCTCTCACACACACACCCCATAACTTGTAGACTGTTTGACAAAACAGTGCAGATTAAAATGTAGAGGACTTCTAAGTTTATACAATTTAACTTTATTTTGTGTTTGGTGGTATTTTTCATCCAAACCGCATTATGCCCCCCCCAATGCCTTATGGAGCGTGCACACACACATACAGCCTACCAATAGTTACAGTTATTAATCAATATATTAGCTGAAAGTTAAATAGTATCAGAATTCTAAAATTGAAGTTTTTCCTCTGCATTTGACATTACTTCTTAAATTCAGAAAAAATAAGCCCAGCCATGTGTAATCACATCATTGTCCATGCAAAAAGACTCATCAACTGAGAACTCTGCAAGTGAGGGCAAACTTGTAATTTTTTTTTAAACGTCAAAAGTTTGTCACAATAAACGAGAACATCTTATAATTTATCAGTATAGTGGTAGCGTGAAAAACGAAAATTGTATTTTGATTTTTATTCTCTACACTAACATATTAAGGCCCCAAACCCACAAGCTCATACATGCAGGTGGACTCCATGAACATGAGCCTGCAGAATCAGGTCCTAAATTCACAATACATCTGGGTGGGATTTTCAGAACCCCTCAGTGTTGGCCTAACTGGTAAAACTCCTATAGACTTTAATGAGAGCAGTATCAAGTCCACACACTAAGCACTTTAAATATATATCTATATCTGTATCTCATCACACCTCTAAATCATCACACGTTGTTCCTTTAAAGCAGTCTAGCAAAACAAACACACTTGTCGAAAAAACTCTCTAATACTGTTATAACTATGATTTCTCCCCCACAATTTCTTTACTTTGTATATTTGATATCACTTTGTTTTCCCTGTTTGTGTCTAGTGGTCTCCCACAAAAGAAAGATGACAGAAGAAGACATCCAAATACAGTAACTCCCCACTTAACATCCTCTTGCTTAACATTGTTCTGAAATGGAGCAGGGATGTAAGATCGGAACATGCTTGTTAAAAGTTGTGCAATGCTCTGATATAACGTCATTTGGCCGCCTGCTAGGTCCATGATTGGCAGCCCCCCTATCAGCTCCCTATGCCCCCCCCCCGAGCACCTCCCACCAACCGGCAGACCCCGCGGATAAGTGCCTTCCTCCTGCTCCCTCCGCCTCCTGCCCGTGGCAATCAGCTGGTTTGCAGCATTCAGGAGGGGAGGACGCGGCGCGCAGGCTCCCCCTCCCTCCCCTGCCCCTGAATGCGACAATCAGCTAGTTTGCGGCATTCAGGAGGCAGGAGAGGGAGGGGGGAGACTGTGCGCCATGTCCTCGCTCCTCCCCCCAGCCTCCTGAATGCCGCAAGACAGCTGATTGCCGCGGGCAGGAGGCAGGCGCGGGGGTAGAAGAGCTGATAGGGAGGCTGCCAGCCTGTTTAATACCTATATTAAATTGCTTGTTTAAAATTGTTTTAAATGTATATAATACCTTTTGTCTGGCAAAAAAAAAAAAATCCCCTGGAACCTAACCCCCCCATTTACATTAATTCTTATGGGGAAATTGGATTTGCTTAACATCGTTTCGTTTAAAGTCTCATTTTTCAGGAACATAACTACAACATTAAGTGAGGAGTTACTGTATAAGAAACCACAGAAGTTGGCAGAGGGGCTCAAGGCAGACGTAGCTCCTTAAACCACTTTAATTTTTTTTCAAACTAACCAGATTTCAAGGTGATGGAGTCTGTCTAATTCTAAAATGTTTGCAAATACAGAATCATATTAATACCACAAAAGCACCAGTCATAACTTCAACGCAAATAAATCTATGAAGAAATAATTTACAAACATAATACCACGCCATGGATAGGAAGCAAAATAGCATTACAATTGAAGTCTCCAACATTTAGCGCAGTAAACAAGCATAACTAGTCTAGCAAATTCTTCTACATGATTAGATAAATCTAGTTTACCATATACTCATTGTCATGTTTAAAATATGCTGAGATAATGTAGTCATCAATTTTCTCCAATTAAGTCACCTTCAAAAAATATTACATTGCTGTACTCTTTATTTGCAACCTCATCGTGCCACTTCAGAATACAGTCCTGACCTATTTTTCAGCTGCTTAATTACTCTCCTTGCTGGCTGACACGCTTGTTAAAGTTAAGACAGTTTTTAGTTACAGTGTGTATTTCAAACATAGTTCCTCCTGTAACAATATTAATTTGTCAAAGGTCTCTATAAACCAAACCTCTGGAGACTAGCCAATATTTTTATTTTGCTCTCAAATCAGCTGCTCTGTTTGAACAGATACTTTGTGCAACTGCTATAATGGTATGTGAAAGTAATATTGAGAGAATACAACACTATATTTAACTCTAAGTCTTGTTATTAGTGAACTGCAGCTTTAACATCTGTTACTTCCACACTAACAAGGTACTTAACCTGCATTTAAAGATAGTGATCAAAGCAAAAACACATTTTAAAAATGGCATTTAAAAAACATTTAAGATCTGTTAAGTAAATTCAGAAGTCTTAGAACATTATGATTTAATATAATAGCTAGGAATAACTTGCTGACCATAGGATGGAAGTGATATACATTAGTTTCTGGCTTTCTCATTTTAAAAATTAGACATTTAGCATCTAATATCAACAGAACCTCTACAAAAATCATTTTAAAATACTACCTATATCATTTCTAACTCATTTATGGCTTGATATAAAAAGAGTTATCAATATTTATCTTACAAAGTTAACTAATGCGTATGCAGTAGCTGATTTTTTATGGTACAAGGGTGATAAGACACTCAGCGCCTAAAACCAAAATGGTGCTGGGATACAGAACTGACTCCATGGGGGGGGAAAAGTTATAAAAAGTAACTGTGGAGTCTGCTCAAACTTTTATGCAAACAAGAAACTGTTGTTTTTTTAAATAGTCAAATTATAAATACCAGAAGACATTACCTACTTTAAAGCTAATGACTGGCAAATATTCCCCTTTAAAAATAAGTGCCTTTGTGATAGGTCAATATAAAAAAAAAGCATCTTAAACCGTGAGAAGAGTTAGTTTTGGCCACTCTCTAATCAAGTGTTTCAAGTACAAAGCAGCAGCTTATTCTATCTAATTTTTGTTAAGCTCCAATTTCGATATTTGAAAACAAAACTGCCAAAACAACAACAAATAAGCATTTTCTAAACGAGCTCTTCGTAATAAACAGACTAAATATACCGTCACCTGGGAACAACAGCAGCATTTCACAGAGTTTGAGAACACCATACAAGGACTAAACTAACACTTATTACTAAATCATGGGGGGGGGGGAAGAAGAGAGGGGGAGGAAGAAACCGCAGCAACGTAAGTTCCAAAGGAGCTCCACTGAATTGTCATCAGTCCCACGTACCATTTTAAGCTATTCGTTTCCCCCTCTGAAATGGAAATAGACATACTCCTTCCCAAACTACATTTGCAAATTACCTCTGTATCCCAAAGGGAAGCAATAACGGCTGTAACAAGAGACGCTCGGCAGCCACGCCTTCCTGCTGGCCTGACAAGTTGCAAACGGAGGGTATCACATTTCTTCGATCACAACAACAATCACACATAGATCCTCAGGTTAGTTTTACACATCGAACAAACCCCTCCAAAGAGAAATTGCAGAATGCACGGGAGAATGGGGCAAAGACAGGGAAAAGAATAAAAGAAGGGGAAGCTTAGGGGCGCCAGAGAAAGGGAAGGGATGATAACAGTGGAACGGGAAAACAGAAGGGACACTCGGTGTGGGACCAGCCTGCTTGTTTACCACTAGATTTTTCGTGGGAGCGTCACCTCCCTGTGCAAACTTCAGTGCCAGGGGAGCTGGAAGGGGAACTGCGCAGTGCGTGTGCGAGGTGGGGCAGCCCCCCCGCCCCAAGGGCTGGCAAAGAAGCTAGAAGGGGCAGGGGCGGCCCAACCTAGGACTCAAAGTTTGTTAGCGCCAACGTCGTCACCCCCCTCCCCGCCACCCCGCACCCTGACTTGCCTGGTCCCCGGCAGGAGGCGCCTTCGGGAGCAGTGGGCTCCGAGCTCCTACCACTCTCCAAAGACAGGGCAAGAAGCGCCCGAGTCTACTCCCGCCCGGACTCTCAGCGGCCACAGCCCCCACCCCCAGCGGGGCATTTTGCGGGCGGCCTCGGCCTCAGCCCCAGGCGGAGAACAGGAGCCGGGTCCCCCCCTTCGGCAGGCAGGGCCGCCCCCTCACCTTCACAGGTCGGGCAGCGCGAGTGTCCGAGCCGCCGCCGCCGTCCTGGGCATGTCCGGGAGAGTCACGGGGAGGCGCCTCCCAGGCCGGGCTTAGCTCTTCGCGGCTGCTGCTCCTGCGCCTGCCGCCGGCGCCTCGGACGCTGCCATCTTGTCCTGGCGGCTGAGAGGAAGGCGCCCCAGCTCAGCCCGCTCTGTTCCCCAGGCCTCCGCCTCATCTTCCCGGGGAGGGACCCAGCCCTCCCCCGGCCTCCTCCTCCCACTGCCGCTCCTCTCGCCGCCGGCGGCCTAGGCGCTGGTGCCCATGGTGCACGCGGAGGGGCCCGCGGGACTCGCTGCACTTCAGCCCCGCTTGGACATGGCTCGGCTCGGTTCCTAGCTATGGGGTCCTCCCTAGCGGAGACTGGGCGAGCTCGAGGCCTCCGCCGCGGCGGCAGCGCCACCGCCCGGGCCCTGCCTGCCGCGCTGCCGCCGCAATCGGAACTGCGGCTCAGCCCCGCCGAGGGATCAGCCTCCCCGCCTGCTGCCCCGGTTCCCTTCTTCCGCGCCAACCCCTCTGCCAGGCTCCTCGCTGGAGCCCAGAGAAGAGGCCCTGGCTCCCGCCCCTAGGAGATGGTTGGATCTCTCCCTTTCCCCCACCCAACCTGTTCTTTCCCCGCTTTGGGAGCCCCGAAAGCCCCTTGCTCCCTCTGCAGCCGCGGGTGAGCCCCTGGCCTGCCCGGGAAGTGCAAAGTCAAACTCCCTGGTTCAGCCAGGGCCCTCCCCCTGGCGCAGTAACGCCTAAGTCTTCTAGAGCACTTTCTAGCCCTGGAGCTGTTATACCCCTTCACAAAGGGGAGTAAGCATCATTGGCCCCATTTTACAGCTGAGGAAACTGAGGCACGAAAAAGTGAAATGACTTTCCTGAACTTGTGTGTCCGGTCAGTGGTGGAGCCAGGATTAGCACAGGAGTCTCCTGGTACTAGTCCAGTGCTCTTTGAAGTAGGTCACAGGGAACAGGCTGAAGTGCTAGTGTGATATCTACTGTTCATGCCCAGGCTGCTGTGGGGTGGAGGAGGACAGCTTTGTGCTGCCTGTGAACTCTTTAGGGAGCCCCTGACAAATCTGGATACCTTCCCCTTTACCACCATCCTTTGAAACCCATCCTAACTGTGGCACCTTTCCCATTCCCACTCCTCTGGCTCACAGAAATAGAGCTGGCAGGAGGAACCCACTGATTTTTGGCTGGGGGAAAAGTTTTTTGATATAACTTCCTTTACATCAAAATGATACATTCGGTCAAAGCAGGAAGCATCAGTAGAATTACTTAATGGCTGGTCCATACACACAGACAGTGGCAGGACACCTAATAGGCATGGCCGTACAGGTGGTGGTAAGGACAAGGGATGGATTCTCGCAACTTACGAGCTCAGACAGGAAGAAGACACAATTAACAGAAGGGAGTTCCTGATTTATGTAAACCAGCACTGCTGATTTATAAGCTGCAAGCGTTCATGTTCTGTCAGGTACTGCCCCTAGCAAGCAGCTCTCAGCAGCCAGGAGGGTCCACTGCCAATCACCAACTGCCTTGGAACCTTCTGGCTGCACTATTCCATCCCTTCCTGGTTAAATAGATCCCTGATGGCTAGAGAAAGAGAAGTGACTTACGTTGTAGCATCTAGAGTTCTCTAAGATGTGCGGTCGCTGTCTGTGTTCCGCTGGTGGATGTGCATGTGCTTTAGGCACCTGAGACTGGAAGATTCTTACTAGCAGTGTCTATTAGCCTGCACCTACACCCTTCTCATGTTGCACACCAAGAGTATAAGGGGCAGCATGGACAGATCGCTTCTCCAATTCCTTCACCACCACGGATCAAGGCAGAGGGGAAGGAGGACAGGTAGCAGAATACAGATAGGGACTACACACCTCAAACTACTTCAGTTACTATAAGGTAAGGAACTTCTTTTTCTTCTTTTGGTGCAGGTGCCTATGTTCATTCCACTATGGGTGACTAACAAGCACAAAGGATGTCCACTGTGGAGGCTTGTACTATAGCAGAGTGTCTTGTGAAGGTCTGAATGGAACTCCATGTAGCCACTTGGCTTATATCAGGGAGTGATGCTTCTTGAAGCAATGCTACTGAAGGTGCTTGTTCTCTGGTAGAATGGGTTCTCACCCCTTGTGCAGGAGGAAGATGTGTCAACTGATATCAGAGCAGGATATAACCTGAAATCCACTTAGAAAGTCTGTGACAGGAGATTGCTTGACCTCTCATTCATTCCACTAGGGAAACAAATAGTCCATGTGACTTCCAGATAGATTTTGTTCTTTGCTGGTAAAAGGCTGATGCACAGCAAGGAATAGAGTCTCTTATTCTCAACATTGGTATGAGGCCTTGTGGGGAGGAGGGGAAGGAGGTACTTGTATTGTCTGATTTTCAAGAAATTATTTTAGGAGTTAGTTTCTGATGAATAACAGGGCCCCTGCTTCCTGAGCAGTTTCCCATGGCCAGAGTTCTCTTTGCAGCTACCTCCTTCTGTTCTCTCTTTCTCTCTTCAGGGCCCCTTAGGGTATGTCTATACTGCAATTAAAAATCCACAGCTGGCCCATGCCAGCTGACTCAGACTCAGGCTATGGGGCTGTTTAACTGCAGCACAGACATTCAGGCTCAGGCTGGAGCCTAGACTCTGGGACCCTGTGAGGGTCCCAGAGCTGGGGATCCAACCCAAATCCACATGACTACCCTGTAATTAAACAGCCTCACAAGCCCAAATCAGCTTGTATGCCCCAGCTGCCGGTGTTTAATTGCACTGTAGACATACCTTTAGAGATTCTCCACAGTCTCTTTTAGAAGTCCTATCGCCCTTCACTCAGGGCTGGTTTAGTGCCCGCAAACTGTTCCAAACAGTCCCACCAATTAAGTCCATTACTGCCATCCAAAGGTTCATACTGATTTCTGGAGGTTCTGCCAACCATACTGAGCTCTCCTACCAGCCTTGTCTTCGCAGGGTCATGTTTCATAGCCATGTCTCCCTGGTTTAGCCTTCTAGCCTCTAACTTCCTTCTCTTACCAGTGTATCCCCTGTTCTGAGCGAAAAGGCAGTCTATATACTGCCTTCCTCCAGAGAGCTCCTCCTAATCGGCTGGAAGACAGGGGAGGCCCTGTCCCATCCTATGGGACACGGCTCCTGAGCCTTTAAAGGGACAATGCCCTGGTGTTTTTCCCCATCTGACCACTTCCTCTCTTCCACTACCAGGGCATTTCCTGGGACCTTGTTCATTCAAACACCCTGGAACAGTGTGACCCTTCCACCCTTAACAGTATACCCTGTTACAGGGTCCAATTGCTATGAGATCTTCTCCTTATGCAATACAGTATACAATGGGTCACCCATCAGAGATCTAAGTTTCTCTATGCTTCTGGCAGAAGTGATGGCTACTAGAATTGGCCATTGTCATCAGTAAATGAGACAAACACATCCATAATGGTTCAAACAGTGTTCTAGTTAATGTTAAGAATACCAAGATAAGATCCCAGGTTGGAGTTGATTTGGTTATTGGTGAAAAAGTTCTAACTACACCTTTGAGAAAACATACCATCACCATGCGGGTGAAGATAGTGTGGTTGTTAATTGAAGGGTGTCAGACACTGATTGTTGCCATCTGAACTTACAACAAGCTAAGAGAAAGGCCAGCAGACTTGAGGGTGAGGAGATAATGAAAGATAGCAGAAATCCGCACTTTCTCTGGGGACATGTGATGATGCTGAGCTCAAATGGAGAATCTCTTCCACTTTGCTATATAGCATTTTCTGGTGGATTCTTTCCTTCTATGGTGAGGATGGCTTGTCTTCTGAACTTCTCTGGTCTAGGTTTGATGTCCATCTGAATACCAGCTGTGAAATGGAGAGTGTAGATTGGGATGTTGGACCTTACCAGGTCCGGGGTCAAGGACTCTGGAAAGAATTGGAGGCTGACGGATGGACAGATTGACAGGTGAACAAGGCTGGAAAATGGGAGTCACAAGAATGATTATTGCTGTATCCTGTTGGATCTTCTATAGGACTTGAGATAAGAGTGGAATGAGTGGAAAGGCATCCATAAGATTAGCAGGGCAATGCCTCTAAAGCCCTGACCCAGAGTCCCTCTGGAGCAGTACATTTTGCATTTCTTGATCACTTGGGATGCAAAGAGGGCTTTCCACTAAATTGTGTAACATCCACTCATGGAAGGTGAAGCAATGAGCCTGTCTGCTGAGAACTGTGTTTTCCAAGAAGTGAACTGCTGATAGGGTAATCTCATGTTGAATGCCCCAGGTTCACAGACTGACTGCTTCTATGTAGAGGGGAGTGGATCTTGCCCCTCCCTGCTGCTTGATGTAGAACACTGTAGTCCTGTTATCCAGCATCACTAGAATATGATGGGATCATATAACTGGTAAAAAAGCTTTGCAGGCTTCCTGGACAGCTTTCACTTCTAGTAGGTTTATATACATTCTAGGCTCCTGAGAAGTCCATATGCCTTGTCCTATATCCAGTGCGCACCCTAAAAAGTAGGAATTCATCTGTGTTCAGCATTCTCTCGAGTGTGGGAGGGAGGAAGAGGACTTCCCCCACACATATTCCTTGTTCATCTACCACTTTAGAGAATCCTTCAGTCTGGAATGGAACATTATTACTGTGTCCATGCTGTGTTTTCTTGGCACACAATCTGTTTGAAGCTAAGTTTATAGACAAGAGAGATGAAACCTTGCAAAAGATGTCACATGGGTGCATGACACTATGTGACCCAAGAGGATAAGGCAGAAACAAACTGATGTCTGTGGACTCTTCTTGGTTGATTAAATTGTTCATTGATGGGAAGCTGTCTAAGGGAAGATAAGCTTTTGCCCTGATAGAGTCCAGAGTTGCTCCGATGAATTCTATAGTCTGTGTTGCAGACAGGATAGACTTTTCTAAATTCACACAGATCCCCAGTGATGCCAGAAGATTCAGCAGAAATTAAGTTGATGTCAGAACTTTCGACCAGAACTTGCATATCAAGAATCAATTTTCTAGGTAAGGAAAGACTGTCGAGCTCTTGCAATGGACACGTACTGCTTCTACTGAGAATACCTTTGTAAACATTCGGGACTGCTTGTGATATTTCCACCTCAATGCTGATATACATACCCAAGGAACAGGAGGGTTGTTGTTGAGTCTTTTATGCTGTGTCCACACTACTAGCTACAGGTTTCAGGTTCAGGCAGGTACATAGTCAGCTAAGCCATGTTTCCGCTACCCATGCTACCATCCCCACACTACTCGTGCTAGTTGAATGTCAGGCCCGCTACCCATGCTACCATCCCCACACTACTCGTGCTAGTTGAATGTCAGGCACATGGAATGCATGTGTGTAACACACAGTGAAATACACATAGGGACCAGCACTCAAAGAACCTACTGATCCCACTGTTAAAGTAACATCACCAAAACATTCACAGGGGAGAGCAAAGGTAATATTTGTCCCACACGACAATGGCAGAATTTTCCCTTGCTCTCAGAGTTCCTGACACAATCACAGGAATGCACGCAGGAGGACATTTTACCCCTCATACCACAGTTACCTTGAAAATATCAGTGGCTGGCTGCAGGACTAGCCAACTGCTGAAAATTGGATTCTTGACTCTGGTAGTAGTCAGATTTGGAGTCAAAATCTGGATTTTAAATTTAAATACTCGAAGAGAAGGAAGGAACTCAGGATTATAAACCTCTCGGCTTACCTTTGAATTTTGGATCAGTCATTTTAGCTAAGTAATGGAAAGTTTCCAAAGCATTGTTTTTCAATGTTGTCCTTATGTTGTTCCAGATTTTTGTTAATTAGATCACACCAGATTTCCACTCAAACTGCAACAGTATAATCATGAGTAAGTAATCTGTCAAGTCCCTCTGAAACCTCCTTCAATGTTTTTTTTAAAACATAATGCCTCTCTGTAGAGTCCTTTATTGTGTAAAGTATGTGCTGTGTTATGACTAAAGGCCTCCTTGTGTACAGTGCAAATTTCATCAGACGTGGGACAGCTGAACATAAATTCAAGACTACAGTCCTCCTGAGAGTTCTCTTGAGCGTTATTGGAAAGGCTTATCTGTTCTGGGCTTCCCTAAAAGAGGTAGGTAGAGACTTGGAGTGATTGTTACAGGGGATTATTTATGGTGGGATTTTAATTAATTGTTATAGTGGCTTACTGTGTGGTTACATGAACTAAAGTATTTTGTGTCTAGGATATGTATCCTCTAGTGCTTTCAGAATTGTTACAGGTATTTAGAGTTATGCGAGATGCCTTAATATATTTAAATAAAGAAATTCCAATGAACAAGACTTTGTGAGATTTTCAGAAGTGCTTTGCACTGGCCTAACTCTGCCTTAAAGTATGGAAAGTCTGACTTAAAATATGGAAAGTTAATCTGCAATGAGATGCACTTTGAATTAAATTTTATAAGGGCCTAACTCCTACTGAAATCTAACTTCAAAGGGAGCTGAGTTGGACCAACTGTAATAACTTTTGAAATCCCTCCCTTCATTATGATGAAATTGAGGTTGCAGACACATCAGTGTATTGACTATATATTACTGTACCATTCAGAAATGGTAAAACAAATAAATAGAAAAGCAGGACATTTTAAAGTAAGGTTGCACTTCCAAAGTAAACCACAGTCATTCTCAGATAACTGCAACCTTAAGTCTGCACCACGGAGACAACTAAAATCAGTCGTCCTCAAAACTTACAGAAATAGCATTCCATTACATTGAACAGCCACCAGTGAGTGCAAGTAAAGTGGGCATAAGGTTGCATTATGAGTTGGGCCCTACTAAACTTACTTCAAAGTGCACTGCACTGCAGATTCATTTTCCATACACATCCAGTATTCTAGGTGTATACATTCTGTTGCTATGCACATAGGGAAAACTACTTTCAAATTCAAAGCAAATGTGCTTTTCATCTCTTTCAAGAGTTAAAAGTTCAAACTCAGAGCACTGCATTCTTAATTAAGAAATGACATTTATTTTCTTAAGGTATCTTAGCATTAAAGTTATTTGGAAAATACAAGGCTGCATACATTAGTATTTCCCATTACTGTAGTGTCTACACTGGAGATACTTGCTAGGAAGGTTGGTAAATAAACAGTACATCAGAAAATAACCTTGAAGATCTCACACGGTGGTGTTTATCTATTGGAAAGGAAAACATACTGGGAATTACTGATGTTTCCTTGTTTTCAAAAACAGCATTATGGAAAGACAACACAATTGTAGTCTATAATGTTTTTGTCATAGTTGTCTATCAAGCAACAGAAAGCATGCAGAAAATTAGAGGAACTTGAATGAAGTATTCAGCATTGATGTCAAAGATTTCTTTTGTATTACAAAAACAATCACTACTAAAATAACTTCCTCAGATGTGTATTTCTTAGACATTTGCCTTTTCAAATCCCTATTCCTTTAATTATTGAGGATCACAGTTGTTGAAAATGCCCAGTGGGACATCTAAATTTCAAACAAATAATTGGCACCTTGCCAAATGGTACAGAATATTTCACACTGGAATATTGTAGAAATGTTATTTCTATGCATTTGTATCTTGTGTTAATATCACAACAGTGAGTACTGACTTTGCATGTTTTGTTTTTTACTGTGTTTTAAAATTGATTTTTATGTGATTTGAGAACACATACATTGGGGCTGTTGAAAATTACAAGCCACTCAGAGTGACACAAAATTATTTAGAGCCGCTTAAATGCTTTGACTCGACCAAGTATAAACTGATTTTCTAATTTTGTAACTTGCTACTGTAAACTTTTTTGTTTAAAGCCTTTTTGTGGTATCTATGTATCTAGATATTTAAGATCCAGAGCCCATTGAGGTCAGTGAACCCTGCATCAGGCCCTTAATCTATGTCTGTTGACCAGCTGTACGTGGAGATAACACTTACCTACCTTACACTGGTATTGTGAAGCTAAACCCATAAATATTTGTGAGGCATTCAGATACTATGGTAATGGGGGCCATAAGGAGAAGATAGAAAGACTTCCTAAGTATTACCATTCCTTTTTATTATTTTTACTTTGCTAAACAACACAGACAAAAATGTTTTAGTACAAAAATAAATGGGGATGACCAAACATTGTCTCTCTCACCAACAGAAGTTGGTACAATAAAAAATATTACCTTACCTATCTTATCTCTCTAATATCCTGGGACCGACACAGCTACAGCACCACAGCATAAAACACTCAAATAACATTTTGAACAAAAATAGTCCATTTCCTACTGTGACCGGAGTCCCGGGGAGCAAACTGAGGTCACTCAATTAGGGTGAACTGCAAAGAATGGGGCAGACAATCCCCAAAACTGGTGGATATTCCAATACTTAGATTTACCAAGCCAGCACAAAGCAGCTTCTATAATACCTCACTGGTTACCCAGAAGCCAACAACACAGTTCCCTTAAAGTAACCCAGCCTTAGGCCTCTACCCAGACACCCAAGTCAAATATGATGAGGATTACTGAAAATCTTATTCATTATATAAGAACATTCTACCAATCCCAAGGGATCGGACACATTACCTCCCAGGTTAATGAATATTCCAGATCTTACCCAAATACATGCTTATGCCAATTCTTATTGACTAAACTAAATTTATTAAAAAAGAAAAGAGAGAGAGAGTATTGGTTAAAAGACATAAGTACAGTTCTTGAGATTAGATTCATACTAGAGATGGCGCACTTTGTAGTTGCAAAGAGTTCTTTTAGAAATACGCCATAGTTTATAGTTCAATGTTCATATTCAGGGAGATCCAGTCAAGACTGGAGATCTCAGCCTTATAGCTTAAGCTTCTCCTGCATGAAGCATCAAACAGGTCTGAGATAAAAAGGATCAGGACTCAATGGTCTTTTATAGAGCTCCAGGCCTTCTTTGACAGGTCGGAGTCCTTAGGGGAACAATAGGCAATTATGGGGATTTTGAAGTAGACCTATTTCCTAAGCATCACTAATAATTAGCTACACAGATTAACATAAGGCAATTTATCCATTAGGCAGTCTATCACAAACTTTAAAGAGACATATAGACAATGACATTATTTCACCTAAGATTCATCTAAATGTTAATATTCCCTTTTGATCTTTGAATCAATAGCTATAGTGACAGACAGGAACAGTTTGTTTACATGGCTAACATTTAACAAGATATGAGTACACACACACTATTAGTATCATCTTTAATTTCTAACAACGTAGGCTAGAACTTTGAAATGCAAACCTATCTACCATGGAATGGCCCTAATTACCATTCGCATACTTTTCTAACATATCTCTAAAGATTGAATCTGGGTCATTTATCCTGCAGAATACTTAGCCCTTTCAGGGCACATGTCACATTTTGTATAAGATTTGTTGCAATTATACAACGGTAGCAACAATGATTTGCATGGTCATATTTTAATTAGACATCACACCTACTATGTTCATGTTACAATAAAGCCAAAGAGTTGGCACTAAAGTGTACTTTTTTGGTAGTTAAAGCAAAGAGAATAAGGACAAAGTAATGGAGCTTGAACTACACTATCACCCTGACAGTGGTGCCTCCAGAACAGAATTGAGGCTCATTGGTGGGACAATGTGGGAATGCCTACACTGTTATTTCTTTAGTAGAAAGAAGTACAGAAAAGATAAGCTCATGAGCATTCAGCTAACTCAGAACAATTCAAAAATTAATGCAAGAAAAAAATTAGAAAGCACCTCAGATATGAACAAGTTTAAATACTACTACTCAGCACTTGTATAGTATTTTGCAACTTCAGAGTACTGTACAAACACGTAGTCTTACAACACAGCTGTGATGTAGGTAAACATGAATTATGCCTATTTTGTATATAGGGAAACTGAGACAGAAAGGAGAAGTAACCCAAGGCTGTGCAATGAGAGAGCCAGGATTAGAACTCAGGTTCTGTAGACCATACTGTCACTTTAAAAAACAAAAAATACAGCTATTTACCTACTGGTATGAAATATGGGACTTGGTGTGTAAAACAAACAAGTATGGAGTTTGTTGTTAAAAATAATCACTAAGAAAATCAACTCAGAAATATTACAAAGTTGGATGAAAATATTCCTACCTCAAAAAGCAAACTAGAAAAGTATATGAGACTTTTTTCTAAGCAGGAGAGAAAACTGAATGATTAAATCAAAAGTAAATAAATTTCAGTATAACATCATTGTTGCTTTTACAATTCTTTTGTGTAGAAATAATTGTAATTAATGCTATCTGGAAGTGTCTTCTGCATGTCACACAAAGCATGACTATAAATAGGAGTGCTGTCCAGTAATAATACTGAACCTCTTTTTTTACTTGTTGACTGATCACATTCTTTTTTTAGTTACTGATCCACAGCAAGATCCAGACCAGGAGACAGGTGAACATCACAACTGTTCCAACTGACCTCACTTTCCTAAATGTATTGTTCCTGAATGTGACTGTCATTAAAGTAGCTGGCGTAGGCCAGTCATATTTTTCAATTAGAGCCTGATCATATAAAATGTTACTCACATGAGTAGTTTTTAGTGAGTAGTCCTGACTACTAGTGAGCAGGTTTCAGAGTAGCAGTCTGTATTCGCAAAAAGAAAAGGAGTAGTAGTGGCACCTTAGAGACTAACCAATTTATTTGAGCATAAGCTTTCGTGAGCTACAGCATCCGATGAAGTGAGCTGTAGCTCACGAAAGCTTATGCTCAAATAAATTGGTTAGTCTCTAAGGTGCCGTTAGTACTCCTTTTCTTTTTACTAGTGAGTAGTTTCACTGACTTCAATGGCACTACTCATGTGAGTAACAGTTTGCAAGAGTGGGCTCTTAGGCCTGATCCAAAGCCCACTGAAGTAAAAGGGAATCAGGTCCTTAGGGAGCACTGTCCTTTTCCATGTGAGAGTCCTAGTTTGGGCAGATCTTGTAACCTGTTGGTCTGGTAGCGAAACACTGGTGTAAGGCACTTAATCTTCAAGGGGTATGAGTCACTCTTCAGTGCCCCTTGGTAACTGGTTTTACAATATAAGCACATTACAGCATTAGAATAGATAATAGAATAGTGAGGATTCCAGGCACATAGGTCATGTAAA